AATGGATATGATGGTGGTTCCATGAAATTATAATGGAACTGCAAAATTCTTATTTCCTAGGGGCATTTTAATGATCTTGACCCTGTGTAGGCCTAGGCTAATGTTTGTGTTTGTGTCTTAGTTTTTAACAAAAAAGTTTAAAAAGTAAAAAAATAATTTTTTTAATAGAAAGTGGCTTATAGAATCAGAATATAAAGAAAGAAAATATTTTTGTACAGCTGTAAAATATATTTGTGTTTTTAAGCTAAGCATTATTATAAAAGAGTCAAAGAGTTTTAAAAAAAACCCAAAAAGTTTATATAGTAAGGTTATAGTAAGCCAAAGTTAATTTATTATTTTGAAGGATAATTGTAAAAAATAAATTAGTGTAGCCTAAGTGTACAGTGTTTAAATCTACAGTAGTGTTCAATAATGTCCTAGGTCTTCACATTCACTCACCACTCATCCTCTGACTCGCCAGAGAATTTCCAGTCCTGCAGGTTTCGTTCATGGTCAGTGTCCTGTACAGATACACCATTTTTAATCTTGTATTCTGTATTTTTACTGTACTTTTTCTATGTTTAGGTAAACAAATACTTACCATTGTGTTAAAATTACCTACAACATTCGGTAAAGTAATGTGCTATATAGGTTTGTAGTATAGGAGTCATAGGCTGTACCATATAACCTAGGTGTGTGATAGGCCTTACCATCTAGGTTTGTGTAAGTATACCCTATGATGTTTGCACAATGACAAAATTGCCTAATGATGCATTTCTTAGCACATATCTCTGTCATTATACATGATGGAGCATACACTGTTAGCAATAAGCCCCCAAGGAGAAAAATAAAGCGGGATGGGGCATAAAGGATTTTACATTTCAAATAGGGTGATTAGGGAGTCCATAAAAAGGTAACATTTGTGTGAAGACCTGAAGGAGATTAGCAGGTGAGGATATTTTTTGTAAGAACATTTAATAGGCCTAGCAAATGAAAAGACGATGAAATGAAAACATACCTGGCATCCTTAGAGAACAACAAAAGAGGTGAGTGGAGCTGATGTAGAGTGTGTGAGGGACAGAGTGAATGAAGGAGAGTGCATGAAGGAGGGGGTGAAGCCATAGAAGGTTATGGGGATACATCTTTGATATAGGTATATACCCTTTTTAAGGACTGTGACTTTTGCTCTGAGTGAGATAGGGAACCATTTGAGGATTCTAAACTGTTGACTTCTATTTAACACTCCCACATTGACTGCTTGATTGAGAATAGGCTGCAAAAATATTATCTTAGTAACTTAAGTACTCTAATAAATAAAACAAGCATAAGAAGCATATATAGATCCTAATGTCACTTCCCTCCTCAAGAATCTACAGTGGTTCTGTGTTACCTATTGTGTTGTTGTCTTAACTTTTTTCTTTTTCTTTTTTTTTTTTGGAGACAGAGTCTCGCTCTATTGCCCAGGCTGGAGTGCAGTGGTGTAATCTCGGTTCACTGCAACCTCCGCCTCCCGGGTTCAAGTGATTCTCCGGCCTCAGCCTCCTGAGTAGCTGGGACTATAGGCATACACCACCACACCTGGCTAATTTTTTGTGTTTTTAGTAGAGATGGGGTTTCACCATATTGGCCAGGCTAGCCTCAAACCTTAGGCCTCAAGTGATCCACCCACCTTTGCCTCCCAAAGTGCTGGGATGATAGGGGTGAGCCACCACTCCCAACCTGACTTTCATTACTTATACTTTAAAGCTCTTCGTAATCTTGCTACATTGTGTCTGTTAAATTTTATTTCTTCCAGTTCTTCTGGACCTAGGGTCAATTCTTCTGATCCTAATTCTTCTAAACCTAAGACTGATTTTAGTGTAGTTCCATTACTTATAATTTATTCTGATAAAAATAACTGGAAGGTTTTACATTTTACATACAATCAATACATGAAAGTTTTTTTCTATGACTGAAATGTTTGGAAGTCTTCTTTTAAGTACTTTTGAGCCTCTTGAACCTGCGAATAATTTATTTACTTTCATCATTTTATCAGTCAAGAGTCCTAGTTTCAGGAACCAGAATCCATTTTAGCTAGTGATTTATTTGAGGGTACTGACAGCTGACAATCTTTGGGAAAGTTAGGAAATCAGATACTTTTGTTACACACTTGAATCCCTGAAGCCAGGAGAAATGCTTAAGCGTAGGATGTAGCTGATGAGTACCAGTTTTATTGTCTTCATTACCCCTATGGTATCTATGAAGCTAGAGACCAGTCACTAGAACGTCTATTAGAACTACCACAGAAGAATCAAATACCTCCACCACAGTGCTTCCAAGACAAGCAGCCTCCCATCATGTGACCACTGCTTCAAATGTGCTCACTTGTTCCCTCTAAATGTCACATACTTGTTTATACTTGGCAGTGCCTTGGTCATTCTAGCCCCTTAGCTGGAGTGGAGTCTGGCAAATGTTATGTATAATTTTCCATTCTGTGCAATACATGAAGGTATGCTTGAAAGAGGATTTGAATGGGTTTTGAGTATCTGTTACATTCATAATAAAAGAAATGAGAGTTAATATCCTTTTTCTACCATCGGATGGGTAGTAGTCAACAGTTTGATAACTTTTGTATTAACGAAGATATCATGAAAGAGCCACTCATAAATTGCTGGTAGAAATGTAAATTAGTAAAACGTATAAGGGCAAATTGGTAGTAACTTACCAAAATTTCAAATGCTTATACTAATTGAGACAACAAATTCACTTCTGGAATTTATCTTAGATAGCCATATACTGTAGAAACAAATGTCCATTAATAGAGGACTGAGTAAATAAATTACAGTATATCCATAAAAGAGGAAATTCTGCAGTCACCAAAGAGAATGAGATGGTAGCCATTTGTAGGCTGCTTTGGAAAGCTCTCCAAGGTACAAAACAATAAGTTAAAGAAGCAAGTTCAGAATGTGTGATATTCTGTGTTAGAGAGAGACAGAGACTCTGAGTGTGTGTAAATTGCAACAGAATTTCTGTTTTTGTGAGGATTTGGGAATGAGGATTTTCTTTGACATGATCAGGAACCACGTATACCATGAAACTGATTTGGCACAAAATACAAAGAAGCTACTAGGTGGTTACGTTATAAAAGGAATCATGTGGCTGAGGGACAGAACTGAAAAAGAGACTTAATTTTTTACTTTTGATACTGTTTGGATTTTGTATTATTTGCCTGCATTGCATACTGAAAACTAATTTGCTGTTGCCTACCAAAATATTTTTCTGAAAATAGGGAAGATAAGTCTAAAATACATTGTTAAAGAGTTTATATATTTGTGAATAAATTAAGATTTACATACTATGTGAGGGATTTTTTCTCAATGACATCAGGGTGTTGTTTTCTTTTAGACCTGTCTACTATAACTGTTTATATGTTAATTGCTATTAATGACACAATATTTTTAGCTGAAAATTAGACAATATATTATTGGTTTATTCTGGGAGTGAATTGAGCATGCTTTCTATTGAGAAAAAGTTTATATTTGTAGGTCGTTCTATCACTTGTAATTTTATATGTAGAAAAGATGTGATACAAAAATGTGTGATTAACAAATATGTAGTATTAATATTAGTTCCTAGATAAGAAGGTTGATTCCTTTGTCTTCATGGTAAACAGAAGCAATATCATTTGCTATATAAGGTAACTTGTCTTTACTAGCATGTAAATGTTAATAAAGAGAGAACTGATTTTACATTTGCTTTTCCTAATTAATGAGATGGATGTGAGAACATTATTACAACTTTGACTTTAAATTATAATGTTTTTCTTTGGAGTTTTGATGTTAAAGTAGGTATTGAAGGAAATGGTAAACTGTAGATGTGTGAGTATATCTAATTAAAAGTTCTGCTGAGGCACTTTTGCCTTGTTGAGGGAACTTTGGAACATCTTAATGAGGGACAGAGTGAATGCAGGTGAGTGAATGAAGGAGAGAGTAATGGGGATATGTTACCTCTATGATATTTCCTTATCTACTTGTACGTATTTCTCTCTAATGTTTTCTATCCCCAGTAATGTTGGTATGCTTTATTATAATATAATCTTAACTCAAAATTTTGATTCATTCCAGATCTTCAACTACTTATTATATTATTAGTAGAATCTAATAATACTTTTATCAAAAGTATTTGGCTGCAGTAAAAAGATGGAATTTTAAGTAACCAATCAATTTGCAGACCATTTGAGAGGGGATAGACTTGACGCATATAGGAGAGTGTGCTACTTTTCCTAACAGAACATTATGACCCAGTCACAGTTTGGAATCTGTAAGTGAGTGGTCTCTAAAATTAAGTACACACACTTATCTGTTGGGATATACTAAGAAAATAGTAGAAATTTTACTATATACATCTTGATAATACTACATGCTAAGAAAATAGTAGAAATTTTACTATCTATATGATTTTAAAAGTTTGGAAACCACTGATATTTAGGCAATTAATTTTGGATATCAAAAAAGCAGCAATTGGGACTGACAAATGAAGCGTTTATAACTCTCAAAGTAAACTTAGCATGTGAACTCAAATGTTTTCTTTCCTTTTTTTAAATAATATGATTAAACCTTGATGGAAAATTTTGAAACATAACATGTTCAGAGTAACTTAAGGGCATTTATGCAAATTAAGTTACCTCTTTTGCTTATATTTTGAACTAAACCTGTTTACCTTGGATGAAAAATCCATAGCCTAATGTTTCTTCTTACATTTTTTGCCAGCTGAAAATAGACTATCAACACCAAAACTATGTCCTTCCTTTTCAATTAGTTGTAGTTTCAGGCCTTTGAATGGTTAGCTTTCCTTAGTATCCAGTTTACAAACATATTCGCTGATTGCCAGATGCTGCATGGTACCAATGAGATGCTTTTTCCCACCCTGTGCTCCCGTGTACCCAGTACCTTGTGCTATGTATACTATGAGAGAGAGAGAGCGCAATAAGTAAATGCCTCCTAATGGCTATCATTTATGAATATTCATGTTTTAAATCTCAGATATTCAAGATTAAAGCAGTGCAATTGGCTGAGAAACTCCTTCCTGCCTTTAACACACCTACTGGGATTCCTTGGGCAATGGTGAATTTGAAAAGGTAACTCTATATGGGTATTCTTATTCTGGAAGAATTATTTTGACCTTTTTAGTCTTAGAAATTTCTAATGAGTCACCCCCACATTTTTTAAAGACTTATATTGTTTTTCTCTCTATATATAATCTTTATTTTCTTCTGTGTATATGCATAAATGTGTTTCTTTAAAACATTTTCTGATTTTTAAAATATGTCCTTTACTTTGAAACAGGTTAACTGTCTTAACTTCATTGCAGTTTTTACCACTTGTTTCTCTAAGTCTAGATTTCTCTTCTTCACCTGTATGATATACAGTATTTATTTCTTTTATTTGCTTATTTGTTTCCATTTAGTGCTAGAATAGGGTCAAAGTACATTCCCCCTGTTTTTATATACCACCTGCTGATCTTCTAAGTGAAAATAGAAAATAATATACCTAGAAATGAGGGCTTCCTATTGCTGAATGTCATATTAAAGATAAAGACATAATTCATGATGTTGACTGCAGGGTTTTTATTGTAGCATCTATGCTATTGAAGTTCAAAGTGAACTCTTAAGCATTATTCTTGATAATCTGTTTTATTCTAATTGAAAACATTGGTTTTTTACATAGAAATAGATGAAATGTTTTCTTTGGACAACTTTATAAATTATGTAAAGATACACAATTAACATTTGAATAATGTCAGCATATTTGAACTTGCGTTTAAGTAATTTATGCCGACTGAAATTTGTTCTGTTCATGTTTTCTCCTAGTAAAATTTATTCATCATAATGTTGGAATTTGGAAATTAACCTAAAAATTTGATTGTTGTTCTCCTTGCCTTCAGACCCTTTAGAAGAAAAGTTAGGAACGTTTATTTTTCTAGAGATGTGAATCTACGACATTATTTTAAAAAATGACTCGATTTTAGTAAAATGTTTCTAATTGAAGAACTTTATTGAGTTTAGATTTACATTGAGATGTCAGCAGCATTTAATACTGAACATTAAATCTAACTTTACTATCTCTGATTTCATGCACTATATATAGTGCAGATTACCTCCTTGGTGAGGAAAAAGCTGGTTGGCGTTCCAGAGCAAGCTCCATGGAAGGATATGGCCAAGTGATGTTGTGTATACACTTGTTCTCTTTCCTTAGCTTTGTGACAGATTTTGTGATATTTCTTTCAGGATCATTGTCAGAATCAGACATTATTATCTACTTAGATAATAATTAAAACTTAATTCCGATAGGAAGACAGACTGGAGGTTCTTTTGTTTGTCTACATAGAGGAAAAGAACTTGAAAATCAAGATTAAATTGCAGAACTTCTAATTTAAGATTGAGATTAAAGTAAAAAGGTTTCCAAGGACCGTGTTGTGAGCTTTTTATAAGATAAATTTTAATTTAATTCATTTGGTATATAAACAAATACATAATTTTACTTGAGTTTTTATATCATGAATGTAATTATTTACCTATTTAAATTTTTTTAAATAAATTTTTTGCAGAGAAGGGATCTTATTTTGTTGCTTAGGCGGATCTCAAATTCCTGGCTCAAGCGATTCTCCTACCTCCCAAAGTGCTGTGATTATAGGTGTGAACCACTACACCTAGCATTATTTACCTGTTTTTTAAAGTTTTTTTTTTTTTCTTGACTGGGGTCTACGCATTTCCCACACATAGGCCTTCCGTCAGTCTTGATGACTGAAAGCCAACCCATCTTAATAGTCTATCGTATTTATCTTCTACAATATGATACAGCAGACAGAAATAAAAGCAGAGCTTTTTTTGTAATCTTTATTTGTTTTATCACTTTAATGGCTTGCTTTTCTGCTTATCTTTCTCACTCAGTAATACTCCATGGAAACATGATTCCAAGTTACTCAGTAAAGATCTAAATAAATCTTTGTGATGAATACCGAGTGAGAAATGGGATAGTTATACTATAATTTATTCATTAATTTTCATATCAGTGGTATTTGTTTCCATTATTTTCCTACCACAAACATTGCTACAATAGCATCCTGTTATACATGTCCTTATGTAGTAGGAATTTTATTTCTTGGACAGTGGTTCTCAAGAATACGATTGCTATATCAAAGAGCGTGTGCCTTTTTTTTTTTTTTTTTCCTTTATCTGTGGGACAGATTTCCAGATGTAGGATTCCTGGATCAAAGGGATATGTAGTTTTAAATTTAATAGATATGGCCAAAATGTGTTCCAGAAAGGCCATAGTACATTTCCACCAACAATATGTGAGAGTCTTTAAATGTCTGCAGGTATAAATTCTTTTTAATTTTTGACACAGTGGTTGCTATAAAATATTCATTGTTTGTATTTTCTGACTAGTGAATTTGAACATCCTTTTCATAAATCTATTGGACATGTAGATTTGCTTTTTTGTGAATGTCTATTCCTGAGTCTTGCTTGAGTTCTTTGTCTTTTTCTAATTAATTTATAAGGTGTTTTGTAGATTATAGAATTCTTTTCTCTCTACTCTTCTGTTAGTCTGTCTTTATAATAATTTATGATTAATAAGTTTTAAACTTTTATATATTCAAATATATCTTTTATAACTTTTACAGTCTTGGTTAAAAAAATTGTCTCATCTATATATTTTTTACATTCTTTGAGATTTCCATAAAAGCTTTGAAATACTGCTTTTCTAAAAAAATTGAAGTATGGCATTAGTTGTGGAGTTTTCATCAGTTACATCAATTTCCTTTATAAGATTGAGGAAATTTCCTTTTATTCCTATTTCACTGAGATGTTATTGTTGTTGTTTTGTCATGAATGGATGTTA